ACTGGAAATTGAAAAACACACACACACACACACACACACACATATATATATACATATATATATCTAAATATTTTCAGATTATTCCAAACCATTCATTAATTATCAAATTAATGATCAAATCAATAATAATAAATCTAAAAAAAAAACTCTTGCTAATACTCCACCTGATATGGACATAAGCACATCTTTTATGACAAACATCCAAGTGGTTCTCGTAGGCAATAACTGCTCCATGGCTGCTTCATGTAGCTCATTGAGATTTAAAGTATAAATCCCTTCCTCTGCTCCAATCAGTATGTGTTGGTCTCGAGTGTCTGGGTGTATCCATGAGGCAGTACAGTGGATATGTAGTGGGCAACCATTAAACACCTGTAGAGTAAAAACAAAATTAGCATTGAAGTATTCCTGAATCTGCATTCCCAAGGGGGTAAAAGTAATTATCAATATCATAGTTACATACTTTTGATCATTATAATTAATTATTATTGGGCTTTTATCACTCTGATCAATTCTATGTATTTTTAACTCCAAAGATTAATCTTTAAGCTGTAATTTTTCTGTGCAAACTTTTGTGAACCTACTTATCAATACACAATCTGGTTATGTATTGTGTAACAGTCTCATGTTATAGATAAAATCATTTTTATACAGCTATGACGAATCAGTATCAGTCTTACTTTCTATTATGGAGATACTGATATATCTATATTGCTCAGACAGCGATAGGTTAAAGAAGACATATGTTTCTGCATTAATTTTTGCAAACACGAATTGAAAAAAATCTACAAATAAGTGCTCACCAAACCAGACCAATATTGGGCAAGAACCAAATAGCCTGTATGATTTACAAGTTGCAATCTTATTTATCAATTTATTTTTTATCTGTCATTATTATTATTATTATATATACAATTAAATATATAAACATATACAGAACATAAAAAATGACAGGATTATTCATGTTTTCAGCTTTATATGGCTCATTTTATGTAATGAACCCCGTTCTTTGATCTATCACTACAGTTCTCAATAAAGAATATTGTTTTTGACTGAATTTACAGGTGTTGCATTTGCTACCATTATTGTAATTTTTGTTTTGTATAATGTCAATCCATAGTTTAATAAGCCAGTAACAAAAATCCTGTACCCAAAAAACAAAAAACCTGTTCAACAAAGAAGGTTTGCTGTATCAGGTCTCTTTCCACTGGCATTTTGTTTTCTTCTTAGGCAAACTTTCAGCTTTACAAAGAAAACATTGATCTGCTCTACTGTCAACATGCTCTATAAACTACTCTACAGCTAAACTCTAAGCTAAAGTAAACCTTTAGTCTAAAACTATAACTTTAGTTTAATTCAAGAGTTTAGCGAGGGACATACCAGCACACAATATAAACTTCTATGGTACCATATTGTTTTGAAAGATAAAACACTTCCTGCAAGCTCTCTGATTGGTTTTCAGCAATATTTACAGATTTGCAAAAGAAAAACCTATAGTGGGTTCTGGCCCAGTGCCTAATTTTTTAATTTTATGATTTTTTTCAAAATGCAAAAAAATTGAAGCAGCAAATCCAAAAAGCAACAAATAAAATAAATGTGGCCTAATATTTAGTTTAGCAACAGCCATACATTTTGAAAACACACATACAAACACATCCTTAGATACAAAACCAAACATTATCACAAAAATATCATAAATAAACTCTGCATTTCCCAATAACCCATAACCAAAAAGAAAAATATAATTACAAAAAAACTATTATTAATACATGATATAATACCTTTGAAAAGCAAGCTCCCATATGGACTTTTGGAGTGGGTGGTAAGCCATTTGACTGAGGTCTCGGTGGTGTGTTGTGTCTCCGTTTGTCTTTTCTCCGAGGTGGAACAGGAGGTGTCCCACTTCCATCCTCCTCTCCTCCACTCCCTGCTTGCCCATTCTCTTTTGAACCTGTTAATCATAAATTGGATAAGTGGATAGATGGATAATGAACAGATTATAAGTATTAACCCCTTGGATCCGTTTGATGAAACCATGCTACAGGTGATGCCACCAATCCGTCATGAAAGAAAGAAGAAAGAAAGAAAGAAGAAAGAAAAAAGAAAAGAAAGAAAGAAAGAAAGAAAGAAAGAAAAGAAAGAAGAAGAAAGAAAGAAAGAAAGAAAGAAAGAAAGAAAGAAAGAAAGAAAGAAAGAAAGAAAGAAAGAAAGAAAGAAAGAAAGAAAGAAAGAAAGAGAGAGAGAGAGAGAGAGAGAGAGAGAGAGAGAGAGAGAGAGAGAGAGAGAGAGAGAGAGAGAGAGAGAGAGAGAGAGAGAGCAAGGGGCAGGTGACGCTGCAATCCCGCCATTTTTCTAAAAGAGAGAGAGGATTAGGAAGAGAGGGGGAAAGTAGGGAGATGACTTTATCTAAAAGAGAAAGAAGACTACCAAGAGAGGGAGAAACTAGGTCGTCAATTCCTTATTGGCACAAAGCACTGGAATCGAATATGACACAGAAGGCCTT